ATATATATATATATATATATATATATATATATATTTGCAGACCCACCCATAACTAGCAAGGCCAACCTTTCAAAATTAAACGAATATGTAAATAACCTCTTGCTCTCACCATATTACTCATGGGTATTATTGCCGTAGATTCAGGGCCTACTTTGATCGTTTGAAACTATCTGCCCTTTCGCAATATTTGTCTCTAGTAGTCTCCCTTTTCTACCATGAAAAGACGTGTTCCCCGCCGCATAGCCTATGCGATTTTTCACTCGCCGTCCCTAAAACGACAGTAACCAGACCACCCCCACCCCCAACTCGATACTTCGTTACGATGTTGCCATAGTGACCCCGGGCAAGTCACGTGTCATCGTGCGTGACTTGTCCGTTCAATCTCCTTCCGTTCTACAGCAACTCCGGACCCAAGTCGTGAGGTTACCATGCCAACTCCCAACCCCACACTGCAGCCTGACCTGAGAATGCGGTTGGGACGCCGCGGATCTGCCATACTGTTGCTAGACATCCCACTGAGCTGCGGAATACACTACTGTGCTGAGAACGACCTCCTTTCGAGGCTGCAGCAACTTCCGCTTCCTTTCAGAGCCACGGGGGGGTGATTAAGACTGTAACACCCCCGAGTTTAGGCGCTTTTGTTCCGGCCTATGAATCTACGCTTATGTTGACACTGGAAAGGCCTTGAAACTGAAAATTCTGGAGGAAGAGGAGGAGGAATGTTGTAGCTCTTTCTCGCTTGAGGAAATTATGCCGAGAGGGGGTGGGACTAATGAAACTAGATTGGAGGAGTAAATTGACGAGTCGACGCCTGCATTTCCCTGTAATCTTTCTTCTTGCTATTTCGTAAGTAAAACCTGCAAGAGGTTACTGAGAAATGTGAACTATTTCCCCACATGCATAGTTCCATGATCCGAGGAGGCGGCGGCGGGCGGGTAGGGGAGAGGTTTAATTGCAATAACTGGCTTCTTATACATATACAAAGTTCGAGCTTTGAAAGAATCCCTGGCCTGGTTAAAAACTTCATTTGACTATCCGGAGACTATCCCATCTAGTAGCATTGTCTACTACAGACCTGCAGATCTGGGCTGCGAGAGTCCAACCATCATTTGATGGAAACCCAAAGGTGCCTTTTATCAAGAGGCAACTGGACTTTCTTTAAAGACGTTTCGCTTCTCATCCAAGAAGCTTCTTCAGCTCTGGCAGGCTAGTGGGGGGGAAAGTACCTTTGGGACAACCATGACCTGGATGACTGAAAATCTCCATAGACATTTGATGGAAACAAAAAAGAAATTTGGCTAAATCAATGCTGCCAACTAGTGGTTGTCCGGTTGTTTGTAGCCCTAATCAAATCTCAACCCCAACGTTTCTTCTCTCTGCTTTATCCTGAATTTTTGGTCATTTTGCCTGATCCCTTTTGGACATTAAAAAGCTTGTGATTTTGTGAATCTTCAGTTGGTCTAATAAAAATGGTTTCAGTCCTTCCCTTCCCTAGCCCAATACAGGTAATTCTCAGCTTACAACAGTTCATTTAGTAACCTTTTAAAGTTACAATATCACTGAAAAAAGTGACTTATGACCATTTTTCACATTTATGACCATTGCAGCATTCTCATGGTCATGTGATCAAAATTTGGATGCTTGGTAACTGGTTCATATTTATGACAATTGCATGTCCCCCAGATCATGTGAATGCCTTTTGCAACCTTTTGACAAGCAAAGTGAATCGGGAAGCCAGTTTCACTTAACAACCAGGTTATTAACAACTGCAATGATTCACTTAACAACTGTGGCAAGCAAAGTTGTAAAATTGGGGAAAACTCACTTAACAAATGAGTTGACACCGAGCAACATAAATGTTGGACTCAATTATGATAGTCAAGAGTCTATTTGTACAGCTTTCTTATGGTGTAAGAAAGACACCACAAAGAACAATTAAGTGTTGTTTTAATGTCTAAAGAAGTAAACGTTTTGAAGGAAGAGCATGCTCAGCAGACCTTTCTGAAGTGCCCTAGGTATGCTTAAGCAAGATAGACTTGTAAAGATAACAAGTGGTGTGAAATCATTTGTGTGTGTGCTGCTGACAGCCTTCTCAAAAAGACTGGCATGATGTTATTCAGCAGCTTCCCAAATAGATGTTTTACATACAACATGGAAATATTTATGTTGCTTCAGCAGAGCAAATGTGGAGTACATGTTTGACTTGGTTTAGAAAGTAGCCATGAAGTAATCTATTTTGATACATTATTTTTGAAACAAAATTGATTGCTCAAAAAGAGATTGCAACTGACAAATGTCTTCTGTGTGTCTTTTATTTTGCAATTAAGGTAATGCAATTCAGGAGGCAGCAAGTACCCAGAAGCAACATACATCAGTCTGCCTTAGGAGATTCCTTATTCTAGAGATTTTGCAGTGGAGGTTCAATATTTTGTATGTGGATTTATTTTAACAATCAAGCTACATTTATGTTATGGCATTTCCAGAACCCAAACCCAAGAAACCTGAGCTTCCCCAAAAACTGCTTGCTACATTAGAATGTAAACAAGGAGCTATAAGAGCAGTGAGATTCAATGGTGAGTGTATTTCTGATTCCATAAAATAAAATAGCAGCTTTCAGTTATTAGAACTAGAGAAAATTCAGAAGCAAATTTGTGTAAAATTAATAGTGTATAACTGTAAGCTTTTAGTAACTTGTGAAGAGATCAAGAAAACAGTTGTAAGGATTATGAAAAGATAGCTAGTGAGAGATATGTATTGCTTGTTGGGTTAAAAAGTTTGAAATAATAGTAGAATTTGCATCATTCTAAGATAAATGAAACTGTCTTCCAGGGATTCCCTGGAATTTACTCAACATTAGATTTTTCTTTTTCTCAGTGGATGGAAATTACTGTATCACCTGTGGCAGTGACAAATCACTTAAGCTTTGGAATCCACACAAAGGGACTCTCCTCAAGACATATTGTGGCCATGGCTATGAAGTCCTAGATGCTGCAGGGTAGGAACTAAGGGAGGTGGATCCACTTTATTAAAAAATGCAACTATTTTGAAAATATTAAAATACTTTAAGAAAGTTTAAAATAACTGGATTAGGATGGGGAAGGAACTTTACAAAAATATTTTGAAAAATACAAATATGTAAAATTCCACAATGAAATAAAAATAAATGAAAATATTGACATAACTATAACGAACTTAACAAAACTAATTTATCTGAAAAAAATACTATGACATTAAAAAATTAATTACTTATGTAAAAGTATGTTTCTGTAAAGTTTGGGTAAGGAAAAAATGATACAGTTATTATCCAAGAAATTGTACTCATGTTCACATTTTAAAATCTTGTCCATTCATTTAAACCTTTTTTGCTGTTAAAATGACAGAAAACTTAAATTTAAAAAATTGAGAAGTTCAAAATATGTTCTACAGTCACACCTTGCAATGGAAAAGTTGCATATACTGTTTTTAAAAAGAAAAGGACTCTTTATTTAGATGTTAAGGAAAATTATTTCTCTTGCTTTTCCTATTCCCCTCTTTATCGATGTTTTCCTTAGGTCATTTGATAACAGCCAACTTTGTTCATGTGGAGCAGACAAAACAGTTGTGCTATGGGATGTTGCCACAGGCCAAGTAATTCGCAAGTTCCGGGGCCATGCAGGGGTAAGATGTATTTTGTCCTTTGGGGTACTTGGAAAATGAGAAGATTTATGTCTTTTTGAAATATGAATTCCTCTGAGTTTCTACCTTAGAGGATAACCGTTATGTGTTCTGCTTCTGAGAGTCTCGGAATTCCTGTTTTTTTTCCTGGTTGACAAAAAACCCTTGTGAAATATAAAATGTTTACAATGGGAGATAAAAAGCTGGCTAGAACTCAGAATTGTCAGATAAGTCAGAAATGTTACTGAAGACATGGATAATGAAAACAAGATTATAGAAACGGAATTGTAATTCTTAGATGAAAAAATACAAGACACTAGTTGATTTGCTGAATTAGGAATTTTGGTCTTGTACATGAGACATGGGTGAGAAAGACTATGTCTCATACTGAATTTGCTTAGAATATCTTCCCCAATAGCTTCCGTATTTCAACATATTCTTCCAAAGAAACTTTACAAGAAAGAGGAACCTTTATAAAGTGCAATCATTTGCTTGTTCAGCAGTTATGCATACTATAAACTGCTTATATATGTACTTATATGGGCTGTTATGCAATGAACCAATGCTGTAAAGTATTAGCCTCAGCATGGTCTATAAGAGGCAGTGTCAACATGAACTCTTTTCACAAGTAGCTTCAGTGTTCTTACATTTTTTGAGGGGATGTTGGGTTTAAGATAATTGAGATTCTAAGTAAGGAATTGTGAGCTTAGTAGCACATCTGCTATGAGGCACATAGATATTGTCTTTGTCATGTGCCTCCAGAAATTTTAGCCTGTTATAGTGTTTTGACTTGGGAATATTATTATGATAGCTTATTAACTGTTCTTTTCATAAGCACAGTTAAATGGAATGCTATTTTAATTTCTGCTCAGTATATTTGTGTTTGTATCTTATTGGAAAAATGTAAACACAATGAATATACCTATGCATAACTAATACTAAGGTCTCTGGTTGAGGATTATAGTGAGGGGCAATAAGTAGGAGTAATAAAAAAGGTACTGTGGTACTGATGAAGAGAGTCGTTAAGGAAAAGTATAATGCCTAATAGTTATGAAACTACTAGGTTTGACTAGCTGTGGTGAAGGATGGAACTATGGCTGTATAAACATTTGAAAGATGTGTTGGAAATAACATATCGATACATATGAACAAGGCATTTCTCCTTGAAATTGTTTCGGAGCACATACAGATAAAGTTCTGCTGGGTCTGTTGGCAAAGCAAAATAGCTCTGTATGATACGTATGCTGTGACAAACAAGAAAAGATGCTTAAGCAGTCATGGTGAGCTTCCTAGTGGATATGGTTGCTTTAGCCAGTTTGAGAAAGGATGCTTCACTCACGCTAACACATTTTGCCTTCAAATACTTTGCATAACTATAGATGAAATAGTAATGGAGATAAATGTATGGAATTCCAGCTACTGCCAAATTTGCATACAGTTTAGTGAGAACAATCAACCAGTGGAACAGCTTGCCCTCGGAAGTTGGGGGAGTGCCATCACTTGAGACTTTCAAGAAGAGACTGGACTGCCATTTGTCAGAAATGGTGTAGGGTCTCCTGCTTGGGTGGGCAGTTGGACTAGATGACCTACAAGGTCCCTTCCAACTCTGATTATCTGTTATCTGTTATTTGCAATAGTGTTGAAGGGAATGGGAAAATAATGCAGACTTGTACGCACTCCCCAAATTCAGCTCCCCAAAATGGAAAGTTAAATGTAAGTTAAGAACAATAGCAAGTCCTAATCTTTTTATATTTCCTTTTTTTCAACTGAACAGAAAGTGAATTGTGTCCAGTTCAATGAGGAGGCCACTGTCATTCTTTCAGGTAAGAAATCTCCTTGCCTTCTATGTTCCTTCTTGATTGTTCATCGTAGCATTTATTTAGCATGGTTCTTTACTTTCCTGCAGGTTCCATTGACTCCAGTGTCCGTTGTTGGGATTGCCGCTCTCGCAGACCAGATCCAATCCAAATCTTGGATGAAGCCAAAGATGGCATCTCCAGTCTGAAAGTCTCAGACTATGAAATCCTTACAGGGTAAAGGAGGATAGGATGAAATTTGAATTGGAAAAGGCAAATTTGGTGCTTTGCTAAATCCAGAATAGATTATTTTACAAAAGATGTTAAATATTCTCAACTTTTCCATGTCTGTTTTCATTTTTTAAAAATATCTTTCCCCCTTTTGCAACAGAATCTAAAACCATCTGTCAATTTTTGCTAAAATATGAGAAGATGCATGAACATGTGTACAACTGTACTGGAAACTTTCGTAATTCCATAATCCAAACTCACTCATAGAAAGTCTTACGGGATAAGGAGATACATGTTTTGGTTTGAGAACAGATATTTTTGAAATAGATGGTTTGCAACTTCAGGATTAGAGTATTCTCTTAACAATGCTGCTCTGTTGTTTCCCAGTTCTGTGGATGGACGTGTCCGACGTTATGATCTCCGTGCTGGAGAACTCTGTGCAGACTACATTGGAAGTAAGTTTCATATATGGAATATCCAATAATTTGAAGTGAGAACCATATTTTTGAACATGTCATTTTGTTGTGGGATATGATGCCTTTACTTGTCTTGTACTTGACAAATAACTCATGTTTTTCTCATCTTCTGTTTGGTAGATTTCTGTCAGCTTCAAACTGAAATGTGTCTGCAAGTACATCAATTGTATCTTCAGGCTAGCATCCACATTTGATGATTATGCACCATCAATTCATATAATCATTGTCACTGTTGACTCATAGATTTTCTCCATGATATATCCATATCTTAGACAATAGTTAGCAGTACTTGGCGTAATACCTGCAAGGCAGTATACCTTAGACCCTTGTATCCACTGCATGATGCAATAACATCCAACATTGCCATGTTTTCATTATAGGTCCCATTACCTGTGTATGTTTTAGCAAGGATGGGCAATGCACACTGGCTTCTAGCTTGGATTCTACACTGCGATTGCTGGACAAGGATACAGGCGAGCTACTAGGAGAGTAAGCAAATACTTTTCACTGTTAACTGTAATCAGGGGTGGGTTTCTACCGGTTCTGTCCACCTCTGTAGAACCGATAGCTCTGAAGAGCAGCAGACATAGAAACAGTTCTATGTCTGCTGATGTTTTTGCCCACCTGGGCTCTTACCTGACCTTTATTTTCTGATTTTTCAACTTCAGCTACCATGCGAGGCACAGCTGCAGTTAAAAAAGCAGGAAAAGAGGGCTGTTTCAAAGGCTGCTTCTCTGCACGCAGCATGCTGATGATGATTTACAGGCGCACGTGCGCAGCGTGCAGGGAAGCACATCATAAATCACCGAACCTTGTAAATCACCGAACCTTGTAAATCACCGAACCGGTAGTTAACCCTGTCGTATCCCACCCCTGACTGTAATGCTTCCTTTAGCAGTTAGACTAAGGTTGACTCCAGCTATTCCCAGTATAGAAGTATGAGTGCATGCTGAAGAGGAAGATGAAATTGCTTTAAATACACTTAAATATTTTATACACATAAAGACATTTTCTTTAATGATAGAGTTTTAAAAATGTATTATCTAATAGATTTTAATGTATATAGTAAAGATCTTCTATGGCTATGAATACGTTTGTGTCAAATTTTGTAATGGTGTCTTTTTAATTAACTTCTTATTCATCCAAGGATTGGTAGCAACTTCAGGCGACATGATGGGGAAACATCTTCCAAGATGGTCAGGAATAATCTTTTTTTCCCCAATTGTATCTCCAGCTACACCGGCCACAAGAATGTAACTTACAAGATGGACTGCTGCTTGAGCGAAAGAGACACACATATTGGGAGCTGCTCAGAAGATGGAAAAGTCTATTTCTGGGATCTGGTTGAGGTAAACAGGATTGGCTGAGAAAATCAAGGGCTTTCCTTTGTGGTAGTCATTTGACTTTTTAGTCAGCCAATCACTGGAGTGTAACCAAAATTTTACTTTGTTGGAAAAGCCAGGTTTTTTTTCTGGAAACAAAGCACGCCACACTTCTTTTCCCAGCACCTACTAATGATCAGAAGGAAAAAGACATCTAAATTGGGAACAGAAATAGTTGTTTTTACTGGTTTGTTTCATTTGATCTTACTTAGTGGTTTAAATAGATCTACTTACAGATTAATCAGGACAGTAGCAGTATCAACGCAAGTTTTTAAATCTTAAGAGGTAAATGACACTTGACATAAGTGATCCAGGTATTATATTTGAAGCTCATGAGTCAAGCATTTCTATGCAAGTTTATTTGGCTTGAAGCTAAGTGCCTGGCTTATATTTGTAAAAGGTTAACACTGTTTATTTCTCTTCTTGAGTTAGGTAGTATATCTTTCAATTCAGATTATCAAATATGGACAATTTCTTCTTAATAATATAAAATTACTGGCTTTGTTGGTGGTTTATCTGTCCTAATCCCTTGTCCAATTTTCTTCTCTAAGCTCGTGGGTTAATGAGAGGGTATTGTCACAAGCAGTCCTGGAAGCAGGAGTGGGATTCAACCGGTGTTACTACTGGTTTGGTGACTATGTTTTGCTGCACGCGCATGTAAAAAACCTTAAGCTGTGCTGCCCAAACAGCTGAAAAGCGCTGCGTGCAGGTGTGCAGTGTTTGAAAAGCCTCTTTTTTCCTGCTTTTTCAACCTCAGCTGTGCCCCGCAAAGCAGCTGAGGTTGAAAAAGCAGGAAATAAAGGACAGGTAAGAGCCTGGGCGGGCAGGTGGGCCAAACAGCAGCAAACACAGAACCAGTTCGGTGTCTTCTGCTCTTCAGAGCTACCGTTTCTTTAGAACCGGGCAGAACTGGTAGCATCCCACCCCTGCCTGGAAGTCAGATTTTCTTCATACCAGCCTATGTGGTGATGACAGTTGTGCAAATAATATATCTGTAGATAATCTCTGTCCTCTGTAGGTTTTGTGACCCATGTAGCTACATTTTGTCCTTTCCCCCAGGGCTCCCTTGTTTTGGCCTTGCCAGTGTGCAATACTGCTGTCCAGTCACTGTCCTTCCACCCAGTTGAAACCTGCCTGCTCACTGCTGCAGGGGGTCTTGTTCAGTGTTGGAGGGAAGAATCTTACACATCTGAGGAAGGAGTGCCTACATGACTTTGTGGCTGCACTGAGCAAGACTGCAGATACAGGATGATGGACCTCTCTGATGCATTTCTCTTACAATTCTGTGAGTGCAGTTGTATGTACTTTGCTTTCAGGAGGAAGGATGGAGCATAATTTGGACTCTGCTTCTTCTGTAAAGCCAGCCTGACTGAATGCTGCCCTTGAGCTTTCAGTGCTCAAAGGTTTCCTTGCTTTAGGTGACAGTATTTTTAAATTCAGTCTATGTATTACAGACATTAGTCAAGTAAAACAGTTTATTTTCTAAAATTGTTTCTGGATTAGAAGGAAATAGAGTTTAAATGATATGTGGGCATTGTTTTATTGTAAGTTTTTGTGGCTCAGACGCTTAAACTATATAAACACTAGCCCTGATTTTTCACTTGAACAAATACATTGAAATGATCACTGTAAAAAAATAAAGTAATATTGAAAAGAAAATATACATTTGCTTTCTTAGCCTATTTAAAATGTTTACCTGTTTAAAATGACAGGAAAAATATTTTGATTGCTGATGGTTAGAAGTGGTCAGACCTTGTTGGTCACATCTGCTTGGTTAGTCAAATGCATGTCTTTTTAATTTTGCATCTGAATAGAAAAAATGCCTTAATGTTACAGATTGTTAATGACAGATATTGAAGAAAATATTTTTAAAAGGCTGCTGTTATCCAGGAAAGTTCAAATGTTAGCTTAAACTTTTAGGAAGCTCATCCTCTGACAGAAATATAGTATTTTTAAAATTGGATGTTTATGAGTTCAAAATTAAAAAGGTTCTATACTGTGTGTCAGTGTGGAATTCCATTCCCAGAAATGGAAGAGAATGGTATGAACAAATCAAGTTACTATTTTCCTGGGAGTATATTTACTGCCTTTGAATTCAAACAACTGAAGCCAGAATTGTATAGGTGCTAAATAAATAAAAATTCTCCTTCCAGAATTACTACATTCTAAGACTTGCACCAGATACGTATAAATAAGTAGAAACATATTTGTTATTGTGGGAATGTATCACATAGCATCCAGAGGTATCTTCTCCTGTGGCTACTTGCATTTAAAAGTATGTTTTAGCAGTCCACTCAGATGCTTAATTCGTTTAAACTATTGGGACATATTCAATATGCCTTTGAGAAGACAGATCTCTTTCCCTAGGTTCCCTCGGCATTAAAATATGTTGAATTTGGGTTTTTTCTGCTTTTGTTGTTCAGATCCAATATGCTTTTCTATAGAAATAAAAATGAAATTATAAGAAACAGATGTGTTCTTATTGAGGTGTTAAGATCTCATATTCATGCCACTCTCTGCTGCTCGAAAAGTAATTAGAAAAAACTGATTTTAAAGAAACCAGTCCACCAACTTAAGGTCAGTAAGGTATTTCTGTTTCGGTTATTGTGGTTGCTGTAATTAAAAAAGACCTCAAGTATCAAACATTCAGACTTCCTTAATTTCATGCCTTTGAAATCCATTGGATTTACAACCGTTACCATCCCCAGATAGCATAGCTAATCCAAAAGGCACCAATTGAGGAAAGCCAATAGGAATAAACCTGCAAAGTGCAAAAGTATACATTGCATCAACATTGCAACACTACTACATCTAGATACCTTAACAGAAAAATAAAATTTATACTCTTTACTCCTGATAAAATGATGAATAAAATGCAGCAATCAACTGTGGTTTTCTGGGTGAGAAAGAAAATTCTACTTTGTAGTTGTCTTTTTTCATAAATAACATTTTTTTTTCTTCTGTTCAATCATGTCCAAGATTGGACGCTGCCTAGAGAAGTCCCTGTATTTTCTTGACAAGGTTTGCCACTGCTTCTTTCCTAGGTCTGAATGAAAGTTACTAGGCCAAGGTCACTTTGCCTTTGTGTTTCAGACAGGACTAGAACTCATAGTCTCTTGGGTTCTAGACAGATACCTTAACCTACACCAAACTGGCTCTCATAAAAATCAGACTACTGTGTAGAAAATATTAAATGCCCTCTAAAGCTGTTCTCTTGAATTTTTTTTAATATGGAGTATCTTTTCCAACTCTACATTTTTTAAAAATGGTTACTTGCTTAAATAAGCTTCATAGTTATGTAAGGAACCATCTTTGGGTTGCTCATGTTCTACTTAATTTGTACAGCTAATGTCCTAGATTGGTTCTTATGAATCCTAGTAGACAGCTGAATAGAGGGATGGCATGAAATCAGATTTTTCTCAACTGAGCAATTTAGTCATTGCATAATATCCTGTGGGATCATGTGTTCTCCCATATTGTTTAAACTGACTTTACAGGTTTGGAAACCAAAACTGTCTTTTGCTGACTTAGTGCATGATACATGAAGGATTAGTTGGAATACAAGATAGTAGGCGTGGCAGGGACACCAGGCATTCAATTAATTTGAAATTATTCCCTCCATTGCATTGTCATGGTGGCAGAACTTCTATGTGGTTTGTTTTGGTGTCTCGGAGTAGTCAGATTAAGCAAAGAAATCGGGTGAAATCAATGCATTTAGTTTCTCATGTCAAGAAAATGGCAAAGAACAGTGATATAACTAGTAATCAGATGATGTCAGAGGGAGGAATCGTACCCATTCCTGGACTCTCAGAGCAGCATGGAGAACAGTGATATAACTAGTAATCAGTATCATCTGGAAGGACTGGATTCAGGTTATCTCAGTGCTTTGGCCCTCTAGTGCTGCACTATGACTCACATAATATAAGCTAATGACAAATGTGCTGAGGAGCAATGGGCCTTTTGAAGTCAACTTGACCAAGAGTCTCGTAACATGAAAACTAATTTCAGTCTAAGATTTTGTAGAGAGTAGAAAACCATACCTAATTCAGGTCCTTTAACCTGACTCTTCATTTAACGCCAGACAGATGAAGTAAACAAGAGCAAGAAAAGTATAGTTAATTATAAGGATATAGATCTTCTGTTTACACCTCCAGTAAATGCTATTTCCAGGCAGTTATTTTGATATGTACATGCTAAAAGCATTCAAAAGAATCCAAGATCATTGAAGAGATGAAGACAACAGAGTAGAAGCAAAGATTACAATGGTGGTGGTTTTAGTTTAGAACGGGAGCATCCAAACTTTGCAACTTTAAGTCCTGTAGACTTCAACTCCCAGAATTTCTCAGCCCATACAGCCATATCTGTTAGGATATGGCAGAAAATTGCTATTATTAGAAATTTATTTCAACCCTGAAATAGAAATTCCAGCACTGACAAAGTTATCTAGTTTGGGTAATGAAATGTCTGCAAGAAAATAGGTCAAAGAACACCAAGGACCCACTCATAGAAATTATTGTAGTATTTTCTACTTCCAGTGTGAAAAATGGCTCAGATAAACTTGAATAGTACTTTGATTTATGGAAAAATAGCAGTCGTCATTCTACACAGATAGCAATGATTTTAGATTGTTGGTTAACTAGAGTCCAGAGCATTAGGATTCCAGTACCAGTTCTGTCATTCTGTGCTAAGTCTTGCTATAGAGATAAATTTTAAAATGAATTAAAGGCTTGATCTGTTAGAGTATTGAGAGAAAGAGAAGCAATGCATTTGTTTTTCAGAAGACGCCAGTTCAAAACTGTAGTTTCCTAATCAAGATATGTTCTTTCATCTGATAACCTATATGGTGTTTGAAACATCATAATACTATTTATCTTTTGCTGCTGTGCCAGCATTTCCCCACTTAGGATTTTGATATCAGCAATCAGCTGATTGCAATTGAAGCTGCCAAGCATTATAACAGCTGTAGGCTGAGGATGGATCGCAGAATATGCAGGTAGTTACATATGTTCATAAGCCTTCTAGGAATAAGGTTTGACAGAAACAATAGATTTTTTTTATTCAAAGACCCACATGAAGAAAACACTGGCTATTGTAAGATATGGATTAAGAAGCAAGCAAAGACTTCATGGATAAAAATAGATGAGTTTATTTCCTAATGTTTGCTTGGTGTCAGCTTTGGAAGCCATATTCCATGCTGCTACATGCCTGAGAAAGTGGGAGGGGAGGGGATTCAATTGAGTAGCTCTAAGTAGACAAAATTCTTTTGTTAATTCAAGGTCATTGAGTATGGCTCAAGATGAAATAAGGATTACTTTTGGACGGATCGTGATTGGGCCATGTGATGTGATGTCGGCCAAGAGGGGATGGATTTGTAGTTTGGGGAATTGTGAGAAGCCCAAAAACTTTCAGCTTTGGGATTCCACAGATGTGCCAGTTGCTGTTCTAATAAAAGTACTTTTGAGATATGCTTGTCTCGGAGTTACTAATTGGAATGGGGTTTTGCTGGAATGCTGACATTTGGATTGATTGGCTCAAAATACTTCTTCCTTTTGGGGAGAGAGAAAAATGCTGTTAAAGGCAGAACAGGATTTCAGGGGAAGATGGCACACTGAAGAAGTTTCAGCAAAAAAGTGGAACAGATGTTTGCAGTCATTTATAAGGAAATGATAAGTAGATCAGCTCCTATGATAAGAGAGATGTCTGATCACCCAAGTTGTTTCTCCTTATTGTTGCTCCTTACAAAGAGCCCGCAAGACAGCGAATTCTGAAGGAGGGGGAATTGGCGGATGTGGGAATTCACCTTAAGTACTGTAGCTGCAAATTGAGAGGTTCAAAGACACTAAGTTGGTGCACTTCCCTTGCTAACTATCTTTGAAAATTATTCATTAACTGGTTCAAGGAAGTTAGATGTCTTCAAAGTGACAAGGCTGGAAAAATCTGGTGAGAGCCTTCAATCTCTAATGTAAGAAAATGAAATTTATTTTTATAATTTTAAAGAATTTATCAACAAAAAAGACAATGTTTTGGCTACAGAAAGTTTTAAATGGACTAAAGGGCTCAGAAAATGTTGGAATGTTGGATCTTAAATATGAAGACTTCAAAATTATTTTTAAAGAAAAAATGTATGTTTATGAGAAATACTTTATTATGGCATTTAAGGATATCTTTGAGCAACTCCACTAGGAATTAATTAATTAATTTTGATTTGTCAATCGCTTGCAAGATAATAGGTATAAGTATATACATAGTTATGAATACATGAAATGGGTACATATAAGAAAAATAAAAGAAACAATAGGACAGGGACAGTAGGCATGTTGGTGCGCTTATGCACGGACCTCTTAGGAAAGGGGTGAGGTCAATAGTAGACAGTCTAAGGTTAAAGTTTTTGGGGTTTGGGGAAGAAACCACAGAGTCAGGTAGAGTATTCCAGACATTGAGCACTCTGTTGCTGAAGTCATATTTCCTGCAATCAAGTTTGGTGCGGTTAACCTTGAGTTTCTATCTATTGTGTGCTCTTGTGTTGTGATGGTTGAAGCTGAAGTATTCATTGACAGGTAAGCCATTGCAATGTATGATTTTATATACCATACTTAGATCAGACTGAAGATGGCATAATTCAAGGTTTTCTGGTTTAGAGTTTCAAGTCTGGTGGCATAAGGTATTCTACAAGGTGTAGAGGAGTGGAGAACTCTTCTTGTGAAATATTTCTGGACTTTCTCAATTGTGCTAATATCAGATACATAATGTTGGTTTCAGACTGATGAGCTGTATTTGAGTATTTGTCTAGCAAATGTTTTCTATGCTCTAGTTAGTAGTGTGATATTACCAGAGAAAAAGCTACGTAGGATTAGGTTAACAACTCTTAATGCCTTTTTGGTTATGTAGTTGCAGTGGGCTCTAGCACTTAGATCATTAGAGATGAGTATTCCAAGGTCCTTTACAGAGCTTGGATCATCAACAAGGTCTTGACTATTCAGCTTGTATTTTATTTTCTGATATTTTTTTTTGCCAATATGTAAGACAGAGCATTTATTTGTTGAGATTTGAAGTTGCCATTTGTTTGACCATTCTGATACATAGTCAAGATTTTTTTGAAGGGTAGCAGTATTGTCTGTGGTATTGAACAGCTTTACATCATCAGTGAAGAGAACGCAGTTGCTCTTAATATGATCAGAGAGGTCATTTATGTAGAGTATGAAGGGAGTTGGTCCTAGAACGCTGCCTTGGGGGACACCACTATTGACAGGTACAGAATTTGATAGGACACTCCCAATTTTGACCATTTGTTGTCTGTTTGACAGGAATGCTTCTACCCAGTTATGCAGTTGTCCAGAGATACCATAAGATTTTAGTTTTAGGAGTAGTTTGTCGTGTACCACTGAATCAAAGGCTTTACAGAAGTCTATGTAGATTGCGTCTATTGTTTTGCCCTGATCAAGTTGTGTAGTCCATATGTTTTTGCAGTGTAAGAGTTGCAGATTACAGGATAGTTTTTTTCTGAAACCAAATTGTTTATTAGAGAGTAGGTTGTTTGTCTCCAAGTGGAGGATAATGGATTGGTTAATAATTGATTCCATGACTTTACAGGTGACGCAGCATAAGGAGATTGGTCTGTAATTTTCAACTAGGCTGGGGTCTCCCTTTTTGAAGATGGGGATGACCGTGGCTTGTGACCATAGATTAGGCAAGGAGCTGGTCCTGAAAGATTTTTCAAAGATTATGCTTAGAGGTTCTGCTATGGCAGTGGATAGTTTTTTTTAAGAAGTAGGCACATATTCTGGCCGGTCCAATAGATAGAGATGGTTTTAGATTGCATAGTGCTTTTTCAACATTGTCTTCTGTAAAATCGATATGTATTAGATCATTGTATTTTTCTGTGGTTCGGCTAGGAAATACTGGGCATGATCCATTGCTGTTTACAAATACTGAGCCAAAGAATGTGTTAAAGATGTTGGCTTTAATGGTGTTGTTGTTGCAGTCTTTACCATTAGGTCCTATCAGGGGTGGGATGGACCTTGAGTCTTTTAGTTTGTTGTTTACAAAATTGTAAAAAGTGCAGGTGAAATTGGTGCGTAGGTTTTCCTCTTGCTTAATGTGATAATTGGTGCATTCAGTCTTTATCTGGTGGCATAAATTTTTGTATTGGCTTTTGAAGTTGGCAACATGACCATAAATTAAATTCAAACTATTGCAGAAGATGAGATCGAGGCAGTTGTTAAGTCTAGTATTGTTGGTTACTAGTTGTTCCAATCCCAGATTTGTAATAGCATTGTAGAAGGTTGCATGTATGGGTTCAGTTGTACATTCGTTTATGGTCCAGTTAATATGAGGTAGATTGAAGTCACCAAGAAAGATAAAAGCGTGTGGGCAGGATGTTGCCCATATTAGTAGTGAATTTAGCTTGTTTACATGTTCAATGTCATAATCAGGTGCTCTGTAACATAGTAAGAATTGAAATGTGATATTTAAGGATAGTTCACAGATGATGGTTTTAGGAAGAGCAAGCTCCTGGGTAACTTGGATGTTTTTTAGATGTAAAGACTTTTTATAGAAGATAGCAACACCACCTCCTCTACGAATTTCACGATCTGATCGGTAGACATGACAGTCTCTTACTGTGGTAATGGAGTCAGGGAGAGATGTGTTGAGCTATGTTTCACAGACAAATATGATGTCGAATTTAGCCATATTTAGTAAAAGGAGAAATTCAAGTATTTTATTCACAAGGCTTCTTGCATTGAGTAGCTTGCATTTAAGGCTAGCAGTAGTTGGAATTGAGGTAGTTAGGGGCGTGCGTGCCTAGTCTTGGATGATGGTGGATTGGTTGAGGTAGGGTTGCGGTTGAAGGTTAAAGCTGAGTTGCAGGTTGTGTGACTTACTTTTGATACAGTCAGCACGGTAGTCAATGTACAGGTCCTTCTCTCCATTGTCTAGAAGTTTTTTGAGTTCTGTGCGGAGTACACAGGAGCGGGCACGTTGCTATATGGTTAGGTCAGGGCGAGAACAGAGGTTCTTATGGTTGGTGTTGCTTTTGGAAAGTGAATTTATAGTATAAATGAATTGCATTGAGACTTTGAAACAATTATGTCAGCTATGTTGTATCTTTTGGGGAACAGGCTATCTCTGAAAGATGTTACAGAACTAGATATTTATTTTAAATTTTTAAAACCTCACTTTTATTATTTTAACTCGATGGCGAATATGCCTAATACTCCTTCTATGTCTTTTCCTCCAAATAACCATCTGAGTCAGCCTGAGAGATAGTGACTGGCCAAAGTTACCCACCCTGATTTTTCAACAAATATATCTAGATATGCAACAAGCTCCACTTGAGAACAATATGAGTGAAACACTAAATAAAAATTTCCCATTAGATGTAAAGAGAAAAATTGTGGGAAGCTTTAAAAATTATGAAGGGGAAAAATGGCAATCCTAGGGAGCAATTGAAATAATATATTTTTTTTGGGGGGGGGGGCTGGATTTACAAGAGACTGCTTAAAAATATTGAAGAACTTTGTAGTAAGGGTCAAAATGGGTTAAAATGGGACATGCTGTCATTTTGGGTGTTTCTGTTTGTATGCACTGATGACTGGAAAAATGTCATATATTGATTAGCTTATACAGTGTTTAAACCATTAACTTTATAGCCATTTTATGTATCCTAAATTTTTAACATTGAAACGCTTTGTATCTAATATGTGGATTTATTTTTTAAAGGAAAATATATTTTTGTTATGTTAAATTCTAGTTATTTGTTTATATTAGGATGCTGGGAATACTTTATTTTGTTAATAGTTTAGAATTGAGATATGGAATGTTTATTTGAATGGATATAGTGCTATTTTGGGCTGGTTCTCTGGAATTGTTGGTATTTGGAATGGGAGAAATATTGGAGTTCGTCTTAAAAAATAAATGGCCTCTTTTTATATTAAACTTTAGGCTTTGTTTATTGACACTAGATATTGAGATCTTTTTATGCCTTTTAAATTGGATTTTGCTTACAGCTAGGAGATGAGATATGGAAAATTAACTTTTATATATATGTTAATATTTTAGAGCTCTGAACTTTTTTCTGATAATTGAATAAAGAGATGTTACTTATTTGATTTGCTTGGAGTGTTATGGGATGAAGAGTTTGATACTTGTTAATTAAGAGAAGGTGAAGAGATTATAAAACTTTATATTTATCATGATGATAGTGGAAAGTTTTTTTCTAAAAGGGAATCTTTTTAGTTTTTAGTTTTGCACTTTTATTTCTTCCTTTCCTTTCCTTTAAGCTCTTATTGTTCTTTTTTTAAAAAAAATGATAAAATTATGGAAAAAGGCAGAACAATGACCAGGAAAAACAAGATTATGGCACCAAAGAAACAAGGATAAACAAGGATACCAAACATTCATTTTTTCTTCTTCCTGACAGATCTATTAATGAGAAAGAAGGACAGCAAGAGAAAGAGGGGTATGCTCACTAGGAATCATTACTTGCTTTATTTTTCTCTCAAATTCTGGTTAATATATTCTGTGGCTTACCAAGACTGTGTTTCTTCTCTCATATATATCCTATTTGTAATAAGAATAAGATATTCATTGGAATAATTATACAAAGTTGGCTTCATCTAATACACCACACTAGACCTAATAATTCATTGAAGATTTTACCCAAAGGTTCTTGAGATGTAGTATAAGCTTCTAGTCCTAACTGTTTTAGACAATCAAACTTTTGAGTTATATGATAAAAGCTCAGAATGAAAGATGACTGTGAGGTTTTTAAGATCCCTCATTCAAGGCAGTGATGGATTTTGTAATGGAATGTGCAGATGACCTTGAGGAAAGAGGCTGCCTAGGAAAAAAATTAGACAAGAATGGCTTAACAGGGTTGCTTTCTAGAGCAAAGTCTGGTCTTTATCTTATTTTTATTATTTGCTTCAATTTTTGTGCTGCCTGACTCCAAACTGTTATTATGCATATGAGGGGAGTGGGGGTACCTATTATTACACATCAATTCTAGGTAGTTCTTATGGAAGGTGAGATTCAGATAGTGTGCTTTTCAGTCTGTTTACTCAATAATAACTCCAGCTTTGGCCTTATAAATAATACAGATCATATCATATCTTATCTTATACATATTACTGAAGGAATAAGCCTTTTGAATTGTTTTCTGACTATACATTCTAACATGGTATCCACTACTGCTTCAAAAAATTAACGAACTGGACATTAAGTTTTGGATTTTGATGAAAAAAGTAAATACTGATGTGTCTTAAGATCCTGATAAGAAGCCAAAATGCTTCATTATGGAATTATATATTATTGTTTTGTTTTTATTTTTGTTACTCCAATTATTTCTGCTCATAGTAACATTTCTAATTCTCAGAGATAAACAAAAATAAGATGGAAGGGTTTTAGCTTTTCAGTTTGCTTTTGTTGGATAATTCAAAAGCAAGTTTATGTACATACATTCAAATTTAACCAGTCTTTAGATTATTCCTTATAAAATGATAAAGGACTGACAAATAAATAAATAAAACATAAATGATAATACAACAACTGACATTTTGTGTTGTATTCCAGTCTATATTCTGGATTTTCACATTATGCTAACACATGGTTTACTTTCATCATGATATACTGAACAAGCCTCAAGGCTAATTCAATAATGCTAGACAAACCATGCTTTATAAAATACTGTGATATGGTTCATATATAATATTAAAACAAAACCAACCAAACTGTATGGCTGAACACAAGATATGAACTATATGTCATTGAGGAAACAGTTCATCTTGTTCAAAACTTGTTTTTGTTATAATTTAATGACAAAATTGAGAAAATTGTTGTACAGTCAAAGTTTGCTATATAATCTTATTTTTAGTGGGTTCATCTTAATTCTAAACCAAATCCCTTAAAAAAATCATGCTTTAAGACATGCTTTGCTTACCACAAGGGAGAAAAAAGGCAACATAAATCTTGATCTGCCGTTATGGCAGAATATTTTAATTTAATGTAAACATTCACCAGGCCCGGCTATCTGGGTAGTCTCTCTAATCATCACCCTCCCCTCTACCCATAATTCACCCTTTCATGCTTAGACCTGTGCTTATTTACCTTGTAAGCCAATAAGTTCTTGGCCATCAAGCCATAGAGAAGATACTGCTCCTATATGTTGAATGGGACAGACTTCGAAGGGGCCAGATGATGGAAAGAGTACACACAAATATGTGTTTCAACCACACAAAGTGAAATGAGAGAGATGGCCAGCAAGAAAGGACGAGGTTAAGGTTCAAGTGAATCAGATAGCCTCCATTCAAGCCTCTGTGTTACCCCTACTGGGACAAGCAAGGCTGAGGTTTCAACATTTGATTATTCAGTCCCAAAGAACGTATTAAACAACAACAACAACAACAATTCATCAGACACCAGAAATCTGGAACCTACAAGGAAGTAATCCACTGTACTTGATGATCCTGAACGTGAGAGCATGGATCACTATGTGGCTTATCATCAAATACTGAATTTCCAAACCTCCAAGGATAAACCACCTGAGGCAGCTACTGCCATATTTCCTTTAGCACAGATCTGCAAAAAAACAAAACAAAACAAAACCCTGATGATAAGCAGAGCTAACTGCAATAAAATTCAATTTGACCCCAAACAATGATGACAATAGTGAATGGATCCCTCCCTTTCATAGCTGCAGCAGGCCTTTCCCAGAATATCTTTCAGCATCTCCAGCCTCTTGTCCTTACCCCATTTAGCACATAGCTGTGGGTCTGTGAGCAGATGACCTTTGGTGGATCTGTAGGAACATGGATCTGAAAGAAAAATCCAAGAGGTTTAAGTCTAAAAATGATACGAGAATATAACAACATTTTTTAAAAAAAACCTTATTTTACTTTGCTGTAAGTCCCAAAACATTTGTGCCAATGCAATTATTTGGTATAAGCAACTCTCCAAAATAATGGTCTATGAATCTGATAAAGCCAGGCAGTATGCAGTGAAGGAGCTTAATCGGTACACAGTGATATGAAAACATGTGAAAATACTATGAGATGGCCTTCACCATATTTCATCATCTTTTTCTGAAGCTACCCTAAAGTTGTTGAAATAATCAAATGTTTTGGTTTATAGCTAAAACTTTATGGCAACTAGGGTCTCATTGCTGCTTTATTTTTCAGTCAAATATTTAAAAAATAGTGGACAGAATTAATTTTGCTTCCACTGATCGAATCTACAGTGATGTGATTATTTTTTTTGTTCTGTTTTGTTTTGCTCCTCAGTCACAACACTATCAGAACTACTTTTCCAGGCAACAAATAATTCAGTTATTCTTTAGATTTGATTTGATTTTTCAGTCCAAAGAGAAAACCCACCAAATATATAAAGCATGTTAAGGACTAATTGTTTAGAAATGCATATTTTGTAAGAAAATAGACATTTTTAAATATAATTCATGCAACTTCTTGTACAGATTAAAAAATAAACCAATGCACAAATAGAATTTACTTTTGATAAACCCATGTGAAACAGACATAGATTGGAAATCTATGAGCCATGGTGGAGCAGTATTGCGGGCTAATTCTGCATTCCACTGCCAGGAATTCAATCCTTGACCAGCTCTAGGTTGACTCAGCCTTCTATCCTTCTGAGGTTCATAAAATGAGAACCCAGATTGTTGGGGGCAATATGCTGACATTGTAAACCACTCAGAGACTTCTGTAAAGTATTATAAAGTGGTATATAAGTCTAAGTGATTTTGCTATTGGTAAATTAACTGTTTATTCCTAATAAAATACTTAGATACCACCACAATTCTTACACGGAGTGTCTTGTCAGTGGAAGTTGTATACAGTGCACCCAATGAGTGTTGGACTCCAGTGATCTGAGAGCGATGACCTACATCAAAATACTGACAAAAGAAAAAGCAGTGAGACATCAAATGAAAGAGAATTGTTTTATGTGTGGAAATTAGAAAAGAACCATATTTCTCTGTCCCTCCATGATCTATCATCAGTACCATACCCGAATGTGCTGGAAATGCCCTCCATTGTTCTCAAAGACATACAGCATTCCATGATTGTCTCCAGCCCATAGTTGAGAACCCTGGTATGACATGGAAAATAGGTATGTGTCCAGCTGTGGGGAAAGATAAATATCATTGCCATAGGCACAGTTCTACATGACACCAGACGTAAGTATGAAATATCACAATTCCTATGGTCACGATGTTTATTATAAAACTTATATACAAAAGTAAGGTCTTGTATACATTTTATCTCTGGTAAATATTAAATTCCATTATTCTTCCTTATTGTTATTAAAAATATGTGATGCATTTAATCCTATCCAATTTCTTATTATTTAGCTCCTATATTTCATCATCCTAATAATTGAATTCTTATCAGCAAAAATCCATTAAGTGTTACCAGCAATAAATACCTACTTTAAACTTGATCAAATAAACCAGCTATAGATTCCTTCCCCATACTTCTTAGTTTTTGGTTCCCTTCAAATAATGTCCTAGAATTTGATTTATTTTTTCATTTTTTTAATCCCATCTCAGAAAGTCCTTCAAGTCTTTAAAATATCTCTTTTGTACATATAGTAAAAAAATATTATCCAAATCACTCTTCTGATTCAATATTTGTATGTCCCCTTTAAATATTAAGACAATCAGTTTCATTTTTATGTCCACTTTATTTTCTTGTTCCATGTTATTTTTGTAATTTCTCATATTTAAATCCTCAATCAAATCAGTTTCAGTCTTATCCGGTATAGTTTGTTCTTCTTCTGTGACATAAATATAATCTTTCTATGGTATCAAACATTTTTAAAATTAAGACACAATTTGTGTCTATTGTTCAAAATGTCCTTCAAAATATACAGTTAAATTATTTTGTTCCATTTTTTCTTAACAGGTCAAATTTAAATATACTTCTCCTTTAGCTGTAATACTTATTTTCTTTTAGTTCCCTCTAGTATCCAATCTTCAAAGTCTAATTATATCATTTTCCCCCAATGAACCCAAGCAAAAAGGATTTTTATAATTAGTTTTGAATTTTTATTCCAAATATCCCTGTTTTTTTAATATTCTAAAATCAACACTCTTTTGTTCCTTATTCAGAAAACCCAGTATTTTTCCCAAGTCCTTAAAATCACATTTAATTTTTTTTTCCTCAAGGAGAATAAGACTCACTCAGTGAATACCATAAAAACCTGCTGTTAATATTTCCAAGAAATAAAAATAATCCCAAAGATGATTAAGAAATAAAATTCGGTAGAGTGTTTTGTACACAACAGGCTATGTTACAACTGTTGAGCTTAGATATCACTAAACTCCTAGCCATTTGACTCATAAGCCAATCATAAAACCTCAGTTCTTGTAGTCTTGATCTTTTCACCGTAAACACTATTCCTCTTCAGCAAGGATGTCTAATTTTACCATGATGCTTACTGGAAATCCATTCCATCTCCTACTTAATCTCATCTTCTACTTCCTTGTATTATTAGCTTTGCATTATCTATTATTTTACTAATATAATCTAGTTCCTTTACACTACCTTATTCTTATCTAACTTCCTGTATTCTTACTGTATTCCTGTACTCTAATACGTAACTGACTTCTATCAGATCTGTTCAATTTACAGTCTAAGAGAAAATAGGAACATCTGTATGGAATAGTTAAGGATTCGATTTTTCTTGGGTGATTTTTTTCTAAATAACTGTTGGCTAGTTTTATCATGAAAAAGAGATTGAAGCTGAATAGCTCACCTGAAGCCTTTGAAGCACACTATTGGTCCTCCTGTCAAAACAGACCAGCGTTCGGTCCTCACTGCCAGAGATAATGAAGTGTTCGTCAGCTGCAAGGGATAGCACTGCATTGGAGTGAAGCCTGCGGCTCATCACTGGGGCACAAGCAGCTGTGAGAGAGGGCCAAGAGATGCATCACAAGAGCCCAGTCACCTGCACAAGATAAATCTTATAAAATTGGTGGCTTGCTCAACTATAATCACATACAAATTCTTTCTCTACATTGAGGCTTGCCATTTAATTATCAAGATAACTGCAAGCAGGAGAGAAAGCAGAGCTTCCTTTAGGAATACTCTTGCCAGCTCCTCCCTGTCTCACCACTCCTAATGAATTTAGGGGTGGGTGGGTTCCTATCACATATAGAAAACTAGTATGTATGACCCATCATAACAGTTTATACCCAAACAACCAGAGTGGGGAATTATAATTTTCTTGCACCAAACTTTCTGCTTGAGATGGCAGTCTTCAGAAATTAATTGTAGCTGTAGGGAGACAACGTACTCTGAGCTACCAATATGCCTTTTGATGCCAGTTAATTTCCGACCGCCCCAACCTAATTTAAATTTTTTAAAATAAAAATTATATTGATTTAAACATAAATAAATGGGAAAGTGCTGCAAAACCAATTATTTTCAAAAACATTGTACTTCTAGGCTTTGCATTGGCCATAGGGAAAATAAAAATGGTAGATGACTGCAACCACGTCCAGAAATGGACCTTCTTTTCTAAAAAAAAAAAAAAGATAAGGGTAAGCTAAAGAAGTAGAAAGCATCTTTGGTGGCTAGTGAGAACGATGGGAATAAACTCAATAGTTTGCTTACTGATAATTGAGTGTTTTGTGATTGGTTCACAGACATTTTGTGAATGGGCAAGACTTCCACATGGTAGTAATTATTTGGGAGCATCCACAATTTGCCTATATCTGGCACAGAAGACATCTAAATGTCTAGATAGATGGAATAATCCTTTCTTTTCTGACTGTTCTTGGTCCACTGAGATAAGAAGATCCTGGCATATAGTAATCTATGACTTACAACTATAATCAAGTTCAGAAGTTTGATTATGTTATTGAGGTTGTATGTCGAGTCACTATGTGATCAGACTCAATTTTATGATTGTTTTTGCATTGTTTTGTTAAGCAAGTCACTGCAATTATCAAGCAAACCACATAGTCATTAAGTGAAACATGGTTATAAGTTTCATTCCAGCTTATCCTATGGGCATTTTTTGCTGAAAAATGGCAACCCCCCCCCAAACTTAATCACATGACTAGGGGACGCTGCAACCAATCATAAATGCCAGCCAGTTACCAAGCACCTGAAATGCAATCATGCAACCTCCATGCCTTAACTGTGGTGACAATGATCGTTTGCAAGCAGGCATTTTAAGTCTTCAGAATGTAAAGAAACAACTAATACTAACCTCGTGGATCATAGACTGACACTTTCTTGTCATATGTTCCTGTGACCAGAATGTCAGGCAAATAAGAAAGGCACAATACAGCTGCTTTCTCACTAGAATCCAAAAGGAAATGATCAGGCGATGTGTCAAGAAGCATATTTTATGGTCAGTAAATCCTTGTTCAGCCTTGGGCTTCCCATTATTTCTAGACTGACACTATTTACAACATAAATTACAGTAGCTAGTTCCCATTTTGCTGCTTGCAGTGGCTGCCTATTTAGCGTCATCTACGGCTGATCTTTGACTGCAGATTAGAAGAGCCAATAGAGGGCTTATTTACATGCTGAATTATAAAGAATTTTAATTTCAATGAATTAATTGAACAAAGTAATTCATATAGTGATATAAATATATATATATGAATATCATTAAATATGAACTTTTAACAGATAAGAATATCTTGGTTATTTTTGGCATTTGCATAATGACTCCACTCAAATAGCATAAATTAAATGCAGATGATGAAGCCTTCACAGAAATTAGTTTATTATATGAAACATCCAATATGCTAAGGTCTGATAAATCTGGAAGTGTATTCCAATGGTCCACAGAGTTCGTTTTCATTAAATTTGCAACCTCCAGCTCTCTGGATCCAAAACCAGCAAGTCAGTGTGGAAATTCTAGAAATATAAGCCTAGAAAAGGTTGCACTGTTCTTACAGCCATAATACATTTATGTAGAATAACCTCCTTCCCTGTGACAGGGTGAGCTATTATGTAAGTGAGTTGGAATTTTCTTTGTCGGCTTATACCTATCCAAGTTAAAGATTTTTTTTCCTGAAATATCTCACGGCCAAATACAAGGGGATGGACCGAAAGACAGGGAGAAAAAAATATATCTAAATTTCCTAGAAGCACCTGCAAACTGCTATATATGCATATCAGAGAAATAAGGTATAGAAGATCAAGATGAAAGATGTACAATATTTACATTATAGTAAACAAACTCAAATAAATAACATTTTAGTTGATATTTTGGCTCTATGTAGGTCTGCATCAGTTCCTGTCCTTATTCACCCTCCAATGCTCCTTCACAACCCTTTGTCTAATCTTTTTTGGTTTTTCCTTTTTATGGTGATACAATATTGATTGTACATTAATCTAGTCTTTTTAAATAAATCCTTGGAAAATACGACAAGAAAAAAAATTAGATGAAATTATTGTGACATTTAATATAACTCAGGACTGGATTCTTGTACTATTTTAGGCCTTTTATCATGATTTGATTTTAGGAAGTAAGATGTTAAATCTCTCTGGGGCCCCGATTAAGGACTGAAGCCAATATCTTATTTCTCTGGTCATTATTAATACTGTTTCTTTGAATCTAGTTTTCCTTTTCCCATTTACACTTCCAAATAAATATAGCATAAGGGGATAAACAGCAACAGTACCTGATTTCTCCAAATTGTTTTCCGTCAGCAGCTATATCCCATAACTTCACTGTGCTGTCCCAGGAGCCTGAACATACACGGTTATCATGTGAAGCCAGAGACCAAACCCACCCCTAGATGGTGGGGGGTAGAAAAAAAAAGGGGGGGGAGCAGGGACAAAAATATATATGACAGCTCCAGCTAATCTTTTCAATGATTATACATTGTAATAACAATAACAAAACTACAACAAATGCTTTTGTTCTCTGAAGACAACCAATCTTCTGTTATATATGAAATAAGTTACAACAGCTTAATAAATATGCATCATTGTATATTTCTAATAAAATCTATATCATTTTAGAATAGAAATTCAGTTTCAATTTGGTATCACAATTTTTTGATCTACAGTGGATATAGAAAGTCTACAGCCTTGTTAAAATGCTAGGTTTTTCAAGTGTAAAAAAAAATGAAACCAAGATAAATTGCTTCAGTATTCTTAAGCTGTACAATTCAATTGAAAAACTGAAAACTTTTTTGGGGGAGGGGGAGAATTACAAAAAAAGACTAGAGAAAAGTGGCTTCACAAATGTTCACACCCTCTTATAAGTAGGAATGTAGTTGTGTTCAAAATTAACCAATCACATTCAAACTTATATTAAATAGTATTCAATACACACCTGCCATTAATTAAAGTGATCCTAGTAGGATTTTTCTGATATTTACTCTATTGCCTCTTACAGCAAAAACCATGGTTTACAAAGAGTTTACAAAGCATCAAAGGTACCTGTTGGAGTTATTAGTCAGAAGATGGACACTAAAAAATTTCCAGTGCATATACCGTGGAGCACAGTGAAGACAGTCATTAACAAGTGGAGAAAATATGGCACAATGTGACATTACCAAGAACTGGTTGTGCTTCCCAAAATTAATGAAAAAACGAGAAGAAAACTGATCCAAGAAACTGCCAAGAGGCCTATAGCAACATTAAAAGGGCCGCAGAAATATTTGACAAGTTCTGGTTTTATACTACATGTGGCAACAATCTCCCATATTCTTATGTCTGGGGTACGAGGTAGGGTGGCAGGATGGAAGTCTTTTCTTAGGAAGAAAAACATCAAAGCCTTTTGCAAAAACCTACATCAAGACTGACAAAAGCATGTGGGAAAATGTATTATGGTCTGATGCGATCAATGATGAACATTTTAGCCATGATTTCTATAAGTATGTTTTGCGCAGAAACAACACTGTGCACCATCAAAAGTTACACCATGTCCACAGTGAAGCATTATGTTTTTGGGCTGCTTTTCTATAAATGGAACTTGGGCTTTATTCAAGGTGGGGAAAATTATGAAATGTTCCAAATATGAGTCAATTTTGGCACAAAATCTCTGCTAAAATCCTGAAGATAAAGAGGAATTTCTCCTTTTAACATGACAATGACCCAAAGCATAGCTCCAGTCCAGTTCAACAAAATAATGGCTTCACCAGAAGGTCAAATAAAAGATTGAATGTTGTCAGAAGGTGCTTCAACAAAGTATTAGTTTAAGGGTGTGCATCTTTATGCAAATACATTATTGTAAGTTTTTTATTATTTCCCCCCCTAAAAGATTTCAATTTGTTTTTCAATTGAATTGTACAGCTTATAAGTTAAAGGTGGAAAGGATTCTGAAGTGATTTATCTTGGTCTGATTTTTTTTTACATCTCAAAAGCCTGGCATTTTAACAGGGGTGCATGGACTTTCTATATCCACTGCAGAAGATATTGCACTGAGGCATCACCAGAGTAAAGTGATGAAGCATTCCATTCCTTTTCACTGGGAATGGTCACTCTCTGCTCAAGATTAGAAAAGACTGAAAGGTCTCCTAAATGCCATCTGTTTTCTGGAAGAAAGAGGCCATATGTCTGCCAGATAGCAAATATATCACATATATACCTACTTTTCTTTGTAACAAGCCATAAAAAAGCATTGGCCATTTTATTTTATTTTTTACAGTAAACAACAAAGAAGCTACCAGGGAAGATTGTAAAAGGGAAAGGTTTAATATTCAAAAGAGAGAAACTGATGTACTGCTATTAATTAGAACATTCCCAAATCATGAGAAATGTCATACACTTATAGGTAGTCCTTGATTTATGACCAGTCAATTAACAATTGTTTGCATTTATGATGGGTCCCCCAGAACATAGTTACAACCTGGTTCTGAAATTCTGATGTCTGCTCCCCCAATGTGACCATATTTTGAGCGCTCAACAACCGGCCCACATTTACAGTCATTTGCAACACCCTTTAGGCATATAGTCATGAATTACAATTTTGCAGGAAAAGAGCGTTTACTTCTGGTTTCTGACAAAACTGCCCCATAGCAAACAATGGGTTTGCATAATGACCACAGTGTTCCTTTATGATGACTGCATTTGCTTAATGACTGCTGCAAAACAGGTCATAAAACTGGTTCTGGTCATATGGTGACCTGCTATATGACTATCATTACTTATGACTACAATTGAAGGCTCAATTACAATATTAACTCAAGGACTACACCTCATGCACACAGAAACTCATTGCACTTTATTTTCCAGTTTAAACAATGGAAAGGGGCTATCAATGGAATGGGGCTATCAGATGGGAGTTGATAATACAGACTTTCTGTAATAATGCTTAATATTTATGTTTAATATATTGATCTGCTTCAGAATCTCCAGTTACCTTGTGTGTTCCATTGCGCTCTGTCCCCAGTGCTTTCACTAGAACTTTTTCTGGTGCTTTGCCCAGCTGCTTTAGATCCCACAAGTTGACATTTCGGTCTCGAGAGCCAGAAATGCACAACTCCCCACCCTGGATAACAAAAATAAATGCTAATCAAATTATGTAAGTTAGTGTTCCTCATATTTCAGAATAGTATCACAAAGACAGTGAGCAGTACAACTTTTTTTCAGTACAACACCCCCACCCCACACCCCCTTATGTATAGTCTCTATCACTCATACCCTGGTCACTTTTCTGGTGGATTCCTGTAACATGCTCTACATAGGCCTGCCCTTAAAGAGCATTCAGAAGCTACAGCTAATGCAAATATGGCAATATTTGATATGTATGCTGCCCAGAGTCCCTCTCTGAAGGAAATGGGTGATTTCTAAATTTGAAAAATAAATAAAATATGTGCATCCAAGATTGATGTGCATTATACCTCTGTTCTCTGAGCTGTGTTGGTTGCTAATTTGTTTCTAGGTTCAATTCAAGGTGATCTACAAATCCCTATAAGGCATGAGGCTTGGTTGTTGTGAAGGACTGCCTTCCCGATTGCCTTTACCCATTCCATCAGATCCAGCAGAAATGATGTATTGTGGGTCCCATGCATGAAGCAGTTCTATCTAACAGGATCCAAGAGGACGAGAGCCTTTAATGCTGCATCATCCACTGTCTGGAAAATTATGTCCCCTTAGGTCAGGTTGTGTCCAATCTTGGCCTTTAGAAAATCCTTCAAGGCCCCGGTGGATGTGGGGAGCCTGCAAGATGGTTGCATTGCTTATGGGCGTTGGTTGGTATTCTCCTGCATTTTTATTTTTGTAATCTATTGTTTTAATTTATACAAGTTAATTTTTCTGTTGTTTTTACATGTAAGCCACAAGTAGTCCTACAAGTAAGATAGGCGGCTATATAAATGGAAATAAATAAACAAGCATAAAACTGAAAGCCCATTATAAAGACAATATGAGAATGGTTTGACAAATACAGTATTTTAGCAGTAATTAATCAAGAATAAGGATAATGGAAAGCAATCAATCAATGAGTACTTTTTAGATTAAATGATGGGGGTTGATATTTTTAAAAGGAAGTGGCCACAGTTAATCCTCTACTCAGTATTTAGGTCTAAAGAATCATTTCATATAAAATGCTAACAAATACACAACTAGCTCCTACTATGAGATAGTTATGCTTATAATGGAGCATAACACTGAGGAAACTATTTGGCCAGATGAATTTTGTTAGTTATTTCTCAAAAATGAGAACATTTTTCAACATGGTCCTTTTTAACTAAACTTTGGATGTTGAAGAATGTCCTTTATCTGCATCATTAAAAACAGCAAAGAGAGACAGATTTTTACCTGAAGGAGCAATACAGAATCAACAGAAGCAAAGTGCCCTTCAGTAAGGGAAAAATACTCTGTGTTTTTGCCACTATCTGCCCATTGTTGGAGGTGTTCTTCTAGTTCAATGCAAGCTGTTGGCCAATTAAAATCATTACCTGCCAAAAAATAAAAAAAACATATAGCTTTCTTTTGTTTTTGTAAAAAAGAAAAAGAAATATAGAGAAGTTTATGTGTCTTATTTATGTTTACATAATGGTTTTGCATATAAGTTTTAACATGTTTACAGAATTTAAACACAAAAAAAGGATAGATACTAAAACACAGAAGTTTTACATAATGTAGCCTGAATTGCAACACTGTAAAAATAACTTATGACAAATTCTAATATTGTAATGGGAACTAACACGTTAAAGATGTTATCTTTAAATCGAAAAGGACTTGGTACTATCAGTTGAGAGACAATATTACTGAGCTTACCTGCAACATTCCAAAAATGAAAGAGAAGCAGGCTAGGAAATATTTATTGTTCTACTCAGAATTCTTACAGCAATATTTACAAATTGCAGCATTTGAAAAGTAGCTCAAGAGTGAAATTTCTACTCATTCTTAGTGATAACCCTCTCACTTTTTAGACAAAAAGGAAAACTCCTTTTAGCATCTTTCTTCCTCCTAACATCCTCGACATTTAAAACACCAGTTCCACCTTCCCTTAAAATCAAAAGTTAATGATGCGAGAATCTGCTTGTGAAAAAGCTAAAATACAGGTCACCAACAGCTAGAAAGAAAACCCACCTACCTTCTACAACTGGATAGCAATTGCCAATTCTTTTTAAAAGTCGAATTCTCCAAGTGACTTCATCTTGAACAATGTCCCTCAGTGTCTTGCAGACTAAAGGAAGGACATGCAAAACAAACCTGGCTTGCAGGTAGGAACAGATTTCTAAAATCAACTCTAGAGGAAGAGATAACAGCCCTGAAGCAGTTTCTTCAACAATAGATTTTTTCAGTTCTAGAGGTGATTTGAGGTCTGATGTTCGGACTCTACCACCACCTACTGAGAGAGACTCTGGAGGCAGACACTGGGTTGCTTGCCTGGACTGATTTGAAGTTCCAAGAACACGCTCCACATACTCCAGGGCTTGGGTATCTGGATCTATTTTGCTCTCTGTGTCAGAGTCAATGTCAGAGCCTTGCTGTTCAACAGAAGAACCTGGGACAGTTTCCATTGCTGCAGGAAGGCAAGAAGCAAACAATTCAGATAAGGAATGATAAAAACCAAAGTTATACCTTATTTTATTAGAAATAGATATTTCAACTAATAATGCAAGTTTTATGAGGCAAAAAGGAATTTTTGAGAGCATAAATTATAGAACCACTTAAGCCTGACAATTTTAAAATAATGCTCAAGGTACAAGATGTAAAAAGAAATTATCTATTGGACATTCAAAAAAATTCCTAGATAATTAACAAGAAGATGACTTCTGAATGATAAATGAAGAAATAATCTTATTTGGTCTTATCTTTTTTCAAACAATAATGTTCATAGGAAGAGAAAAGAATAAGATTACAAAAGTTGCTGGCATTCTGACTTCCAAACTTTCATCTGAAAACGAGAGAGCGGACTCCACACAAATAAAACTGCTGCATGATCCAATCATACAACGCTATGGTTCCCAGCTACATCAGGAATGTTCGGCTCATGCACATCCTATGGGCAAAGCATAGTTCAGGAGGAGAAAAATGTCTGTTCTGAAATGGCTGTCATTTTTCCTAATGAAATAAACCCTGGAACAGATTCCGCAAAGACAGCGTATCTCCTTTGACACCATAGAGAGCCAGAGTCCAGATCTCGCAAAAGCAACTACTTCTCTCACACTTATTATCACAATTTTAGCAAACAGGTTTTTTTAGAACCGAACCTCCTTATCTTGCTCTTCCCCGCGCGCACAGCCCAGAGCCGATTCGAAAAAGGGCTGCTCTTCTGCCGCCCTCCGCCCTCCGCTTCCTTCCTCCACGCACGCTTATCATGGACCTCTCCGGGAAGTGCAGCAAGTGAAAAACCCAGCTCTTGTTGCCGAAGACAACTCCCCTGTTCAGGCAGATAGCAGGGCAAACGAAGAGCGGTCACGCCCGCCTTTAGCGCCGTTAGAAGAGCTCCGTTCTGCAGGTGCGGAGCTCCACACAGATTAATCCCAACGCCGAGTCCTGTTTCCCGGCCCCAGCAGTGAGCCAGGATCCTAATCCTCACGGCAACCTGCCTCAGCCACTTTCGTCGGAAGGGAAGAACCGGCACAGCCGATTTAAGACAGCTTCGTCTTGACAGGTCGCGCCCGCCTTCGCGCGTCTCGTCTCCAAGGAGCAACCGCTTCCGGCGCCATTTGATGACGCAAGGCGACCGTTTAGGATCTGCTTCCACAAGTCCCCGATTTTCTGGGTTCTAAGTACGGAGCGTGCGCACAAGAACGTCTACCTAAGTAGTAGCTTTTAAACAATGGTTCCACGGGTAGCAGCTGAATTTTGGCAGCCTCAACCATACTCTTCCCGAAATCTGGCTGTTTATTATCTGGCTTATGACAGTGTTTTGAAAACATTCTTTTACATTTGCTATTAGCAAAACGGGCTGCTGTTTAACATCTCGACGAGGACTAAGACAATTGAGGAATTTAGCAGGAGAGGATTGCATTGTAAAGTTTTCAGAATATATGTACGAACAAATATATGGATGGTTATGTGCATGTTCAAGTATGTAGTATAAAATTATATTGTGCAAATGCATGCATAAAATATACAATCATTTTACTTTTGTTTAAATACAACTGAAATATGTTTTTGGTAACTAAACATTATACAAGCATGACTACCATCTAGTTTAAAGGCGCTCCAGGACAACCTTGTCTAGAAAGATAAAATAGTAAAATTCCTGTAGTTGACTTTGTGTAGTAACAAATCTATAATATAGATGAAATGCATCTTACCAGAAAATTGGCTAGTGGCTAAAGTTCTGATGTATATTGCATCAGCCAATGATCTAAATGCTAATGATCTAAGTGCTAGAGCCCACTGTAACTACATAGCCAAAAAAGCATTAAGAGTTGTTAACCTAATCCTACGTAGCTTTTTCTCTGGTAGTATAACTACTAACTAGAGCATACAAAACCTTTGCTAGACCAATACTTGAATACTTCAGTCTGGAACCCACATTACGTGTCTGATATTAACACAGTTGAGAAAGTCCAGAAATATTTCACAAGAGTTCTCCACTCCTTCTCGTTGTAGAATACCTTATGCCACCAGACCTGAAATTCTAGACCTAGAAAATCTAGAGCTACGCCGCCTTCGGTCAATTCTAAGTACATAAAATTATATATTGCAATGTCCTACCTGTCAATGAATACTTGTTTCAACCATAACAATACAAGAGCAAACAATAGATACAAACTCAAGGTAAACCTCACCAAACTTGATTGCAGGAAATACGACTTCAGCAACAGAGTGGTCAATGTCTGGAATACTCTACCTGACTCTGTGGTTTCTTCCCCAAATCCCAAAAACTTTAACCTTAGACTGTCTGCTATTGACCCCACCCCTTTCCTAAGAGGTGTGTAGGGGGCGTGCATAAGCACATCAACGTGCCTACCATACCTGTTCTATTGTTTCTTTTTATTTTTCTTATATGTATCCATTTCATGTATTCATAATTATGTTTATACTTATACCTATTATCTTGCAAGTGATTGACAAATCAAATAAATAAATAAGTACATTTAATACCTCAAGTCCAAGTAACAGGAAAGTTGTTACAGCTGTCTCTAAGGGTACAGCACAAGACAGTTATTGTGACCTCTAATTTTCCTCTTTTCTGAAAGCCTGAGAATTTGCATAAATCTAGTTATCTTCTGAGTTCATTGCAAAATAATGGTTATCAAAGGGCTCCAGCAGCTTCACTAAGCACATACATCTATATTAGAAAGGAAATAATCTTGGGTTTGTGTATAGTTTAGAATTCTAATTCCACATTACTCAAGTGCATCTTTTCAAAAAATGTTTCATTTTACCAACTGTATTATGATAACTTGAAAAGGCAAATCTTTTTACCAACAAACTGAAGTTTCTTGAAAAAAGTTTCCCACCCTCCACAGGAGTACTATCTTCAACAAGGCAGTTCAAGGAAAAAATTAATAAAAGTTGAGCATTAGGAAATACAGAATTCAGGATTCTTCAGCCCAGTTGAATTTTGGGGTGACACTGAGTCACTACATTGGAAAATACAATGAAAAACATTTAAGTTAAGAGAAAGAAAGTGGTCAGAAACAAGGAAACTGGAGTCACAGGAATTTTTTTTAGTTGACAAAAATTATACATAAAAATGAGAAAAATCTCATTTGAGCAAGGTGCAAGCAGCTGCTTCAACACTAGGTACACTGCAGTTCCACCATTGGAAACATTACGGCACATTTACAAATATACAAATCCAGGATTAACAAACAGGAGGCAATACTAGAAGCACTTGTACAAAAGACAAATTCCATTTCAAGAGGCAGTCAGGCCAAGTAGCTTAAACTTCACTGGATGGTAGAGTGCACAGCCTTCTTTTCATATTCCTGGAAACTTGGTTTCAAAGCACAAGCCAGGAATCCACCTCCAAATATGCATATTTCTTTCCCATGCATTTAAAAACCAATAGAATCTCTGCTCCCCCTCCCCCCAGGACAAGGAGAATACAGCACAAGGAGGAACACTTGTAATAAAACAATTAAAATGCAAAGAACTAGCCGATTGCTTTCAGAGACCTGCTCAAGTTTGATGCTATTAAAAAGATGAATTCAGGAAGTTTGCTATCTGCAATTTTACTATTGTTTCTTTGACCTTTTTGAGGAGATGCAGAGATGCAAGGGTGTGCCCCACCTTCTAATAATCAGATCCAAAAATGAGAATAGCAGCTTTCACCTAGGTATGTGTCATCTCCAAAATGAAATGATTTTCTGGCACAAAGGCCTTAACGGTAATGCCCCAGCAAGTTCTATGTCAAATTCCAAGAACTGCAAGCATTATTAACATATGCAACAGAGGCCAGAGATATAAAGAAAAATGGAGATAGATGTATCAGTGAAGCTTAAGTTACTGGGCAATCTCACAAGTACACTTTTAAAAATTCATACACAGTACCAAGAATGTCACCATCAGTTACTGTCAGAAAGTATAACTTTAACCCCCGAAAGAGATGTCCTTTCTGTCACATAAATCTTCTTTAACATCTAAGTAGTCTCACCACTTTTGTTTACCACCCTCAGAAGCAATGCAGGACGCAAGGCACAGTTCAACCTAGTTGTCTGGCTATTAATCCTGATGTTGCCGAAGTTCCATTGGGATCTGCTAAGAAAGCTGGAGATGTGGCTCAGCTCACTTGTTCCTTGTCAGCAAGCTGTCTGTAGACAAACACTGCTTTGCACAAATCTTGTTCTTGTTTATTCTGCAGAGTGTTCCTTTTGAGTATTACCTCTCCTCAAGCATTCCTCATTTTTCCAAAAAGTGTTTCATTAAGTGAAGCAGTATTCCCTTTCCCCCACATCCTAGCTGCCTTTGGGGAAATGGGCTTCTACTTCAACATGTTCATTTCTTATTAAAAAAAATCTATGGCTTTAACTATGTTAAAAGCATTCAGTAATCCCCCATTGTCAGAGAATAATGTAACTGAATCTGATGAGAATTTCTTAAGATAGTAACTCCATTTAAATATGCAGCAAAAGCTACAAGCTTTCACTGATCATTCATGGTGGGTTCCCTGTTTAATCATTCTTCTGTACTTTGATATATTTACTATTTCTTATGTAAGCCAGGATGGTGAATGTGGAAAAGAAGTCCTTAAGACAGAAAATGTAAATAACCATCATGTAAAATACCACTCTGATCAGAAGAGTGCAGGACGTCGTATGCCATGAGCCATTTAAAAAATGCATTGCTTTCTGCCCATGTTTGTCCTGTATAGTCATTCCCAGGTGAAATTCAGTTTCCCTCCTTGCTCCTTCCTGCCTCCTGCAACTGAAGCAATGTAATAGCAGTGTCACAAAGTAACAGCTGAATAACAGGGTAAAAGACTCATTGCACTGTGGCATCTTAAAAAAAATGAAGACATGCTTCTCCAACAGTATTTCTTATGAAAAAGACTGCTCTCTAGATGGCTAGCAGGTCCCTGCAAGATCATAGGCTGCCTTTGCACTGAGCATCACTTCTAGCACACAGTGCCATGGCAATTATTATGGCAAAAAGATTTTGTGGGTTTCTTTAAGGTTCCTAGATGAAAATGCTTACAATTAGTCATTATGGGCTACTCACAGATTTGCTAATCTACTTCTTGGTCACCATGCAGTCTTGAAAAGGTGAAGAATAGCTTTATCTCTTGAATCCCAGTGACTGGAAATATACAGTAGTATAACCCCCTTGGATTACATTTTAACCCATCCCTCTTCATCAGCTGGCTTTAAACCACTGTAGCTTTTAAATCCTTTTTAACATCTTAAACCTATCCCTTATTATTATTAGCTAGTTCTTTATGATGGCCCCTAGTTAGATCCCCTTCTCAAGAGTGTTGCAGTTTAAGTTTGCTCCCTTTTCTCAGCGCAGGGCCGAGTCCCACCCCACCCCATTCCATCTATGATGGCCTCTGAATAAAGAAGCCTTTCCTTCTGCCACTGAGATACCCTGGTTTTTGTTTCAATTGGTTATGGAGGCCCACCCTCCCCCCCAACTTTGTAAATTTCAGGAGATGGGGAGCAGTCATTTTATGTCCCACAATGCTCTTCCCGTCCTCCCTAACCCCCCATTAACAGGGATCTGCAACACTGGGTTATGGACGAGTTCCCAGTATCCCTCCCAGCGCATACAGGAACCTGAGGAAAGAAAAAGATCAGAATTAAAAAAAAGTAGCCCACAACACACTCAATTCACAAGACAACCATTTTCCACAGCTCATTTTACCAAAGTTATCTAACT